CAGCTAAGGATTACCAGCCTGGTGACAAAGTTATACTGAAAGCACTAACCTAACCACAGATCACCAATAAAGAAGTTGGACAACAAGCACTTTGGACCCTTTGTTATTAAAAAGAAGGTTGGTGCCTCTGTCTACAAACTCCAACTTTCAGTAACATGGAAGTGTATACACCTAGTGTTTAACAAGGTTCTACTGTCTCAGTACTACAATCTAAGTTTTCCTTTACAACAAAGACCCCTACTACCTTTACTAGAACTCATCAGTTCTGAACTAGAATACAAAGTAGAGTATGTAGTAGATACTAAGCTAGTGTACAGAAAGCTCAAGTTCCTTATCTACTAGAAGGGATACCTGGTTGAAGAATGTACTTAGGAACCTGCTAAGAATCTCACTCATACTATTAAGACAATCTGAGACTTCTATCAACTTCATCTGGGTGCTCTGTGTCAACTCCACCTTACAGATTTCCAAACCCTACTGTTCTGACCTATACCTAAGCTGCTAACTAAGCCCAATGTTTACTAATCAGGACAATTGGTTTTAGAGGGGGGGTAATGTTACAATCCTCTACTCTCTTACCTTCAGTTCTAAGGGTTCTACACTCTTCTGTACTAGAACTCAGGACTTCCATCCCTCAGGAGTACTGTCTATAGACTATATGTATGCTGACTCTTACTACTACTCTTCCTTACTTTATCATTCTATTCCTTTGACCACTCCTTCATTCTCTGTTTATTCTATAGTCTCTTACCCTTTGTCCATCCCTTCATTCTTTGTACCTTTATCTTTGACATTCCTTTCTTTCATTCTTTGTGACTTATCATTCTTAGTAGCTCATACTTCCTGAGTACTCTTGTGTAGTTTAGTATATATAGGTGTATAAGATCAGACTGGTCCTGTAGTCTTGATCTTGTCTACTCTAGGTAGTCCTGTACTCTTAGGCTTACTCTATATACTCTACTCTTGTCTCACTCTCTCTCTCTACCTGTTCTACAAGTTCTGACTATGTTCTAGTACTCACATTCTGTATTTCTGTTGTGTAGGATAGTTGTAGCCTGGGTCCCCTTACTGAGCCTTCAGGTCCCCTCTACACTGTTACTGACATATAGTTTGGAACTAAGGTATGAAGGAGACAAGAGAACAGATACACAAGAGTATTATAACATCTTTTGTATAGTGTCTTTAGTATACTCTAAGCCAGATAGGGAGAAAATGTATAATGTTAAGCTCTACTTATATTGTCAACATACAGAAGGGCTATTTGTAAAACTTAGCTTGTTGTATAAGCTGTAATCCTCAGATCATAGTAGGAGTGAAGAGATTCTAGAACCTTTACAAAGGTCAATACATAGGCTGAATGAGTCCCTTTACAGGAGTACAATCCAGGCTGTAAGTTGAATATCCTAGTTAGTAGCCAAATAAACATACATGTGGATGCTAGCTGGTTGCTAGGATTGTAGAAGCCTTACTTTATTCCTAGGATCATAATAGGAGCAAATAGCTTTTAGAATCCTTACAGAAGTTAGTACATAAGCTAAATGAGTCTTAGGAGTAGTAAAAGCACAGCTGAAGGATGTTCTACTAGGGTACAAACCAAAGCTGTAAGTTGAATATACTGATTAGTAACTAAGTAAACAGACATGTGTATGTAGACAGGTTGTCAGAACTACAGAAGCCTTGCTTTATTCTTAGGATTGTAACAAGTACAAATAGTATCTAGAATCCTTAGAGAAGCCTGCACATAAGTTTGAATGAGTTCTAGAAGTAGTAAAAGTACAGCCAAAGGATGTTCTGCTAGAGTACAAACCAAAGCTGTAAGTTGAATATACTGATTAGTAACTAAGTAAACAGACACATGTATGTAGGCAGGTTGCTAGAACTACAGAAGCCTTGCTTTATTCCTAGGATTGTAACAAGTACAAATAGTATCTAGAATCCTTGGAGAAGTCTGTATGTAAGTTTGAATAAGTTCTAGGAGTAGTAAAAGTACAGTTAAAGGATGTTCTGCTAGGGTACAAACCAAAGCTGTAAGTTGAATATACTGATTAGTAACTAAGTAAACAGACACACATATGTAGGCAGGTTGCTAGAACTACAGAAGTCTTACTTTATTCCTAGGATTGTAACAAGTACAAATAGCATCTAGAATCCTTAGAGAAGCCTGTATGTAAGTTTGAATGAGTTCTAGGAGTAGTAAAAGTACAGTTAAAGGATGTTCTACTAGGGTACAAACTAAAGCTGTAAGTTGAATATACTGATTAGTAACTAAGTAAACAGACATGTGTATGTAGACAGGTTGCTAGAACCACAGAAGCCTTGCTTTATTCCCAGGATTGTAACAAGTACAAATAGTATCTAGAATCCTTAGAGAAGCCTGTATGTAAGTTTGAATGAGTTCTAGGAGTAGTAAAAGTACAGCTGAAAGACAGTCTACTAGGGTGGAATCTAAAGCTGTAAAGTAGACATCCTAGTTAGTAATGAAGAAACATACACATATATAGATTTGGGTTATCTGCTGTACAAAAGCCTCCTGTTACAAGAAGCCTTGTATACCTTCTGTAAACCTATCAAACTTGGGTCATCTTGTCAAAACTATTGATATTCATTTATTGCACAAAAGCATCCTGTTGTAACTGTAAGAAGCCTTGTATACTTCTCATAGATTTATTAAAGTTTACTTATTTGTTAAAACTATTTACATTATAGAGTACAGTACCCTTATAAATAAAAAAAATGTTTGAAATGTATGTTTGGTTACATTGTACTTGGTTTCTGGTCCTAGTAAATATATTTATTTATAGAAAAGACTCTACACTTATGTAATGATTTTGGTCAAACAGGGGGCACAGTACAGGATTATTAGGATTTCACTCATGACTCATATTGTTATGTAGAACATATTTGAGGGGGAACAAGACAGACTGTAACTATAACTAGTAATTGTCTACTGTTTCTGTAATACTATTAGGGTCTATATTGTTACAAGTACTAAGTGAGTATGAGTTTGCTGCTGGCTAATCAGGTCTAGAAAAAGGATAATTATGTATCCTCTATGAATAGTTCATGCTCCAGAACATTTGGCTCCTGACCAAACTTTTTAGGGGCAATCATATACTCTTGTGTTGTATGTTACCTCATCTTTTGCCCCAAAAGCTTACTGTCCAGTCTTTCCTGCCTGACATATTTCTTACTCAGATTTTACTTGTAGTATGTGTACAGAGTAGTAATATAATTCTAGTGTTGAATGGAATATTGACTGTGATTTGATTTTTTTAGAGGATTTGAAATTTATGTTATAGTACAGCTAGCTTATGTTAGGTAATAACCAATGATCCGATAAATCAGAGGACCTGAGGGAAGTCCAATCTTGGACTGGCCTGGGGGACTCTTTCTACAGACATTCAAAAGAGTATCCTCCCCTAACACTCTCTCTCACCTCACATTGAAACATGTTGCAAATGTCTCCCCCTATGTAGTCTGTAAACAGTCTATCAGGTATGTTTCTATGTTGGCTTAAGTGACAGTTCCACTTAGTCCTTTGGTTTCTTAGGATTAAACCAGCACTCTCTGTCTAAGGGCTGAACACTTCCTACAAGCCTGTATGACTGTTCACTCAATTGTACACTCTCTGAGGAGACTGTTTTGTCTACCTCAACATGTGTTACCTTAGAATCTGTTATCTTAGACTCTACTGTAGCAAGTTCACAGCCCCTGTCCTTGAAAAAGCTGGACAAATATGTGTATAATGCTACTAATACTCTGTACACATTGTATTCTGATGTATTATTACTTTACTACAGCTGATAATGTGCTCCAGAAAATAGAACATTTGCTTGAGGACACTGAAAACAATGTATGTAGCTGTGTATCTCTAGCAGATTTGCTAATAAAATGTATTAGTACAGTTTATATCAGTAAATTCTGGCCATTTTGACCTTTATCATAACAAGATAGTTGTAAGGATGTGTGATAGGGTATGTCATATTCTCTTGTGTCAAAAGATAACTAAACTAACAATTTATTAGGTCTGGATTGATACAAATGATAGTGCTAGAGATGTCCTTTTGTGGCAGATGAGGAGTATAGCTTGGAAGAGTGATCCTGTAATAAGTCAAATTTTGCAGAAGAGGAACAATAAGGACCCAGTATATTCTGTCAAGAACCTAGTACCTAAAGACAAGAACAAAGCATGTGACCCAGTCTCACACCAACTGTGCTTACCTTTCCTCAAAGTCTTCTTACAGTCTCTGAAGGGTGCTATAGACAATGTGCCTTCTTCCTATTATGAGCACAAGTATGATGTAAGTTCTAACTGTCATATATACTGAATAGTATTGATTGAAAATTCTCCTATTAGGTCACCTTTGATCTGCTAGCATGGATTGACAACACTGCCCTAGCTGTTGCACTCATGTATGGGGCTTATCCAAAAATTGTGATGGATACCTTTTACACATCCTTGATTGTACAACTACTGCTTCTTCCACAAAGGCATGCTGACAAATATTTTGAAATATTGCACAATGTAGAGATTGTAGTGAATGTGGACATTTTGGAGGTGCAATCACTCTGCCACTTGTTGTTGACTATCAGTAGTTGTGACATGTCCTTTAAGCAGTTTGAGGACTGTATAACATATAGTATAGAGGAAGGCCAGTCCTGGATTATCAATAGTGATTCAAATGCATTCATAAGTAATGTAATGGTTTTAGTGGATATTACAAGACAGAAGAATGAGTCTGAGTTTAATACATTTGGACCTGTACATGTTTTGTTTGTAAACTTATAGTCACTTACTTATATTTGTTTATTATAGATTGATCTTGTGTCAAATATTAAATACATTAACAAACACCTGTCAAGTGCTTGTTCCTTTTCTCAGTAGCTCCCAGACAGATTTGAGCTCAAATTAGATGAGAATTCAGTAATGCAGGCATTCCTCCAAGCATTAGCAAAGGTAGCCTTTCTACATTATAAGCAGCTGTCTTGAGGACATTACTACATTTTTGTTGTCTGCTGGTTATGAGTACTATAGTGTTATTGTATGTATGTAGCCCTTTTTACAGCTTGTACAGTGGTTGTTGAAGACAAATTGTACCCATGCAAATGTGTAGTATGATTCATACCATTTTGCTTTTCCTCCTCTCTATAACTGGCAGGTACAGCTGAGTCAGTACAGAGTATAATTCACATGTCAGAATGAGAGAGAAATTGGACAAGACTGTGTATTTTGGGTGATGACAGAGGAGAGGATGAAGATTACAAACAAGTAATATCTTGATATAATTGTATCAGGTACTGTCACATACAATGATGATTATAGCAACAGTAGTAACAACAAACAAGTTGTCTGTCAGTATTGTTTCCTGGCCACACAACTGTCCTTAATGGATCAACAATCTGGGCCCTAGGACGAATTATGAAGCAGATACTGTTTTTTCAAACAAGCTCTTCATGAGATTGTACATTACACTGGAGAAAAAAATGTTACTGAACTCAAATTGCTGGACTCATCAATCGTCTCATATTCTAACCAAATTAGAGAGGTAAGTAATTGTATGTATCAATCTGTGCTCTGGTTTAATTCATTTGTATTAGAATGAGTAGGATTTGCTGCCAGAAGAGTTCAATTTAATTATGGAAAGTCTCCCTAAAATGTAACTAGACCTCCAACTTTGGAGAAGGGACATTATTAATAATGTGCACCATGGAAGTCATAGTCTAATGACAATAATCTATACTAGGAAGAAAGGTTGCCCTAGAAAGTACATTGACCCAGGGTTCCTAGAGAATGCATATACTCTACAATCTGTTAAGAATATTTCCAATTTTCTGGGAGTCTCTAGGTGACTTGTTTGTAACCAGTTGCTTGAACACAGTTTTGTAACACCTTTAGAAAGTCCATTCAACCTGAATAATAACATTACTGGATACACCAGGCTGTTAACAAATCTAACAGACTAGCAGCTGAATGCTGTAATTGCTACATTTTGTGAACCCAACAACTGACAAGGTGTTACACTTATGGATGGAGCACTGTGAAGCTAGAGTGTTTGTGTCAGTTGAGAGCATATTAACCAGTCTTTGAATTGCTTGGATCCAGAGAGACATGCACTCTCCCAAGTACTGATTAAGTGATACAGCTATGTTACTATAGGACTAAATCAAGTATGGCATTATGATGCTCAACATGGTAGGCAATGACTTTGATTAATAGTCTCTAATACTGACCTGGATATGTATTACACCAGGCTTGGTTTAGTATTGACTTTATACTCATAGTATTACAGAAGGTCATTCAAGATTGATTGTATCCCTTGTAATGGTGGACAACACCCAAGCAGAAACTGTTCTCTGACTGTTCTTCAATACTGTTGTAAAATACAATGTACTAAACCAAGTGAGAGGTGACCATGGAACAGAAAACCTGTTATTGGCAGTATGGATGATATGGTTTCAGGGTGAGGGTAGTAGGGACAGTAACTCAGATTTGAAGCCATACATGTAGGGAAGGTATGTCTGCATCTCAATTTTGCCTTCTATGATTTTAACACACTGTAGGTCTGTACACAATACAAGGATTGAATGACTGTAGTGTAATATGACTGAACAGGTAGGATTAATATGGGCCCAGCATTTTTGCACGCTTGAGGCTGAGTTTGACCTGGACATTAACAACCAACACCACATATGACTACTTCACTACCTCTTCCTACCTATTATTAACAAGGATCTTCAAGAATTTGTTACTACTTAGAATAATCATAAGATAAGAATGAGGGATGGACCCAGTTGCTCACCCATTAACATGTTTTATTTTGATTCATTTGTCTATAGTGAGTGTGGAGATCTACTTCCAGAAGCATTCTAGGGACTAGGATATGTATTAGACAACACATCTCTCTTTGCAAATGGTGGTGATCTCTAGTCGAATCTGAACATTCGTCTAGCAGATTATAGAAGAACTAATAGTTGGGAGGATGTATCAGGGCTATGGTTTGAGGCATTAGTGTTTGTCAGGTATGAGTTACAATGTCCGGATTTCTAAATGTTAGGAAATTGTTTATCTAGATTCCATTTTACACTAAAAGGATTTGACAGGTGGCTATAGCTTTCACAGGCTCATTTGAATGTGGAGGCACAGTGCTCAATCCTCTCCTCCTACAGTGTAATTTATTGTAACAGCCAAAAGATTTGTGTTCACACAGGTGTAATATTTCAAACATACTGTACTACAATCTGTGTTTCAGAACCTCTATAGGATATCTATTTCCCTTGTTTGTCACAGTACAGCCATTGGTGGAACATTCTGCCATTAGAAGTAAAACTGTTCAAGTGAACATAGACTCTAGTCTACCTCCTACTGTACATGATCCATTGACTTGTAGACAAGTGCTACAGCATATTTACAAAATAATTGATTTAAGATAGTATCAACTTAGCATGCTCACATTTGTTAACACTTGGCAACCTTGTGTCTTTTTTTCTGAAATCAGTTCTGTATATTTGTACATCCACACTGTGTTTTCTACAACTGTGTCTCTACACATCTTGTTTCTGCCTGTACCCTTCCAGACTGTTTTACATTATGAGTAGTGTAGATAATGTCCTATCTCTCTTAGAAATGTAGGCTATGGTCTAACAGTTGACTGGTTTGAACCAGGATACACAGACAGGTCTTTCTGGTTCTCAGGTGCTTCTAGACTCTTACTGAATGCTCAAGTCATTCAGCTACAGATTACTCAAACATACTAAAGTATGTACATACTAACAGCCCATACTCAAGCAGTAGCTTCCCTGTCTTTCCCAGTTCACAGGTTGTAGCTAGTTGATAGTCACAGTACACTGTCTTAGGGATTATCAGTGTTGCCTGTAATAACTAGCCTGCCTTTCACACAGTAAGCTTGACACTAACACAATGGTTCTAGGGCAAGTACTCAACCTGTACAATCAACAATGGCTGATTTCTGGTTAAACACAAGTGTTACAAACAAAGCTTGACAACTCTCTGCCAACTGAACACTCTCAAGATCACAGGCAGCAGTCCTACAAAGAGGAGTTAGATCCCTTACATCTTGTTGTGTGTCTACACCACTTCCTAGCCTGACAAGAATGAAGAAGATAGAGGATTGTTTTGTGATGTCAGAGACAGGTGAGACTCTACTCAGGGTTGTTGTCAAGGTTTATCCTACATTAGTATGTATTGTAAAAGATACTATTGGTTGTATATTTAACTGTGTTAATAATTAGTAAGAACACAGTGCATATTGTATACTATACTTGTTCCTTTGCAAATCATTCAATACATTATTAAAGTTGCATGATCTATATTTCAAGCTTAATGTTCCTGCTTCCCTACTGGTTGTTGATCTTATTCAAGACATTATAGTTATGATGGTGAATTCTAGTCACTAATATCAATTATTGTCCTTATGCTCTAATACAATATATGTTGCTCATGAAGCCCAGACATTGTCTTTGCTGGAAATACATGATTATGGATGTATGGCTGCAAATTATACTTATGCTTGGTTGTAATGTGTAGTCTTACAACAGTAATAGACTGTAAGCAACTTGGTAAGCCAGAAGTGGCAGTTTGCAAGTCCTGAACTTACTATTGAAGGGAACTGGTTTGTGGTCCATCTTAGTACATTCTCACAAGCACCCAGTCAAACAGAAACAGACCCTAAATTTTTTGAATAAGTGTGTACATCTGACTTGCTTACATTCATTAAGGATGGAATATTGTACACCTGTATCTCTGAGCATGTCTACAACAGATTTGTAGAAGATAGAGTAGTGAGTGCACCTCTTAACAAAGTCATCTGTGTGTGCTACAAGGACATAAGCACTCTCATCCTTTTGGGTAACTCTGAACAGGGTGGTGGTAGTAATGATAGTGCTAATGTGAGTATAGTTGCAGAAAAAATATACAATGATATTTACTTATTCACTCTTTATGGCTCTGTGTGACAGGTCTAGCAAACAACCAATCTAGCACTTACAAGACAGTCATCATTTATGTCTGTAGTAGGAACTCTTCCACCTGTGATTTGAGTGGATTCTTAGACTACTATTTATGAAGATGGTCCAAATTGCTTTAATCTAAACAACCTAGCAGAGAAAATATGTCTTACAGCAACTGAGGGACATAGTAATGTGTCTCAACTGAGAGAATTAGAGATTGTAGGAAGAAATGTACCTGAGATGGCTAAAAACTTTATTAACATTATCAAATCATACTATCAGAGGAAGGATTTCACACTACTCTTCCTAAAATGCTAGTACAATAAGTGTGTCATATTGTATTGTTTTGTTCTTGTCTAATGGATATTCATTTAGGACAGACAATTTGGGTTGTACAGTGTTAGTTAGAGAAGGGGTTGGTCAGAAGGTCCTTCTTACTGTATTTCTACACTATACACAAGATGAAGTCTGATGGTTTGAAAACTTAACAGATGGGTTCTCTAGTATCAAGCCACTAGTATGTAGTGAAATTGCTCAATATGTGTCAGAAAGTTGTAAGGAGGGATTTACTGTTCTGGGTGCTTTGTGTTCCTTAATGTTAATCTCAAAGCTGGCACCAGAGCTATTAGGCCCATGTGTGATTCAGTATATACTGAATGGCTGTAACCTACATACTCTTTATGAAATGTTTGTTACAACCTAGCATTCAAATGTTGCTGTACAAGTTTGTCAGTAGATTAACATAGGGCTAGATAGAGATCCTACTGTGTTTAGCAGTGTTCTAGTCCCATTCATAGATATGCAAGTGAGTAGTACCTTTACTTCATTCTTAGTATGTGTTGTAATTCTTTTTA